ATAAAAAGCACTGCCGAGAAACCTAAATCCTAATGTTATTCTATCCCGATAACATAAAAAATATGGAATAAATTTTAACTATGGTAATACCAATAGATAAAACCCAAACAGAAATTCACAAAAATTTTATTCCTCATTTTAAAAATAAAGGAATGATTAAGGTGGTAAGGCAAAAATGGACGATGTTTGATTAATTTTTGACCAATTTTTGGATTTTTCGTAACATTATCATTTTTTGCGAAAAATTATCTTGCTTTAAGAAGACGAAAGATTGCAGTTCGCAGTGAGTACATGAATTAGACAATATATAATTAAGTTATTTATTTTAAGAGGAGGCTAGGTCTTTTTAAAAAGGAATCAAGAGCAACAGTTAAAAATCTTAACCCTGACACATGAAAGAAATTCAAAAAGTAAATTTTGTCAAATACTGAACTTACAGTACATGAAAATCAATTAAAAGTATAATTTAAAACAACTAGGGAAAAATATATATTAATACAATATAAAATATATATATAGAATAGTTGTAAGAATGCTTGTGGGATAAAAAACAACGACGTTATAATTTTTTTTTCACATATTTATTGATCTTATCTATGGTAGCTATATGATAGAGTTATTAGATTTTGATCAAATTGAATTAGAAATTCGAAAGTAGATAAAAAACACCATCTGCAAAAATAAAGTCAAATGATTAAAAACAACGGAGAAATAATTTTTTTTTCAATCTCCTGTATAGGAGCTATTCGATATAGTCGGTCGATCCGGCCCGTTCCGACTTATGTACTGCGTGCAATAACAACACACCTTTTGGGAAAGTTTCATCAAGATAGCTTTAAAACTGAGAGGCTAGTTTGCGCGGAAACGGACGGACGGTTAGATGGACAGACGTACAAACGTATTCCGATTCTACTCGTGAAGCTGATCAAGAATATACTTGTATATACTTTATGGGGTCTGAGGTGTCTCCTTCACTGCGTTGCAAACTTCTGACGGAAATTATAATACCCCTTTGCTCTGCAAGGGTATAAAAATAAAATAACTGTAAACTTACTTTTTGTCCTTTTTTCTATCCTTTTTATAATATTTACATCCTTTTTTTCCTGTTTTTTTTTATTCTCAATCTGTCCTTTTTTTTCGAAAAAATTTTGGCATCACTGGCTGCTCGCAGGCAGCTAGCTTTCAACCCCCGTTTATGCTTAGCTTCTTACTCTCTCGAGAGAGCACATCCTCTTTCGAGAGATCAGAAGTGTGACCAACGCTAACAATATAATCTAATAATATAAAATAATGATATCAATAATATAAGTTAGTAAACATAATTGAATCCCACGAGCATGATTTTCAAAATATAGAGTTTTTTAATAACCCTTGAATTGAAAAAAAATTTCATTAAAATCCGACAACGTGAGCTGCCATAGAAAAGATCAAAAAAACTATACAGAGATAACGAAAATAAAATTATAACATCGTTGTTTTTCATCAGACAAGCATTATTTTTGAATTTCACATATGATAATAGTTCTTGTTTATTGTTCACTTACCACTTATTTCCTTTGGATTTATAGATTTAAAGTTTTTAAGTCCATCTCTTAATGAATTATATACACGGATATTATTAACACTTTGGCATATGTCAAAAAAAGTTGCCTGCCAGCGCTTTTTACCCTGTAAAGAACACTTTGTAAATATGTATGTATGTATGTAGATATGTGCGTAGAAATCACCAAGTGCACACATATGCACCTACATACGTACTTGTCCCGAGGAGCACCTTTGCATCGAAGCACCGAAAATGTTGGTTTAAACGCGAAACATTGACCGAAATGTATTTAAACCCCGAGTTTTAGAATGTTTATTGCCTTTTTTACATTTGCAGAGATCGATTTATATAAATTTAAAGACTTTTTCCGTGGGGGCGCGTCACAAAATGGCGGATGGTTTGCAATAAGAAGAAGAAAACTGCACTTGGCCTGAATTGCCGAAAAACACTTATTTTCACTATTAAAATGATTGGATTTTAATAAAACTTATTACTCACACCGAGTATAAGTTGCACTTGCACTGAATATTGTTTTTTTATAACTTTTTAACACAAAAATAACCGGAAATTTAATTAAAATATATTTTAACGGAGCCTAAGCGATGCTCCTTTCAAGAGAAGAAAACTGACTGACAAAAAGAGAAAGAGAGGCAAATCATACGAGAGAGCTTTGATCAAAGAAACAGTTAAAGCTGCTGTGCATATTTGCCATTCCTTTTGCCAATCCTTCGTAAGAGAATAAAAATTGTAGGTGTAATGAAAACAAGGAGAAACCAGCACTTGCAATTTTAAGATAAGCTTGATTAAATTCGTTTGCGAAATCAAGGGAACAAAAAAATTGCTTTCATCTAAAATGTGAGTGATAAAACCTATGAAATATCAGTTTAATTTCAATATCATGTGGAGATCAGACTGTTAGGCGAAACCTGTGACGACCCGAGTACCAGAATCAGAACCAGACAATTGTGAAAAAATTGTGTTCAAGGAGCGGAAGTAGAAGGAGCGAATGAGAACTGTGACTCATAAAGCCTATTAGAATACAAGTGGAATAATTGCAAAGATCGGATGTAATCTAAATTATTTTAAAGGTATTAGAGAAGATTCATCGAAAAACAAATCTTTTACGATTTACTTGCACTCCCTCTTTTGGTACTGAACACGCAATTTTAAAATTGGTTGTTTTTTTGAATTAACAAGAAGGGAAGCTTATATACCCTTGCAGTCATCAAATATGTCGAAAAAAATACATAAAGGCTAAACAACATCGAAGCTAAGACGATTTTTCTATTCCTTTTCCATATGGGAGCTATATGATATAGTTGTTCGATTTTGATCAAATTTAATTCGTAATTCAAGAGTTGTTAGAAAACTTTATATTCCAAAAATCATGCTTATATAACAAAAAACAACGATGTTATCATTATATTTCCGTTATTTCTATATAGATTTTTCGATCGTTCCTATGGCAGCTATAAGATATAGTTGACCGATTTTTATGAAACTTTTTCTCAATATAAACGTTGTTAAAAAACTTGATATTCAAAAAATCATGCTCGTGGGATAAAAAACAACGATGTCAATTTATTTCCATTAATTCTATATATAATTTTAGATCTCTCCTATGGCAGCTATATGATACAGTTGTCCGATTTTGATAAAATTTAAACCGAAATTCAATAGTAGTTAGAAAATGCCATGTGGAAGAAATCAAGTCGATCTGATAAAAAACAACGGCGTAAGATTTTTTTATTTCATTCTATCGTATGGGAGCTATCCGATATAGTCGGCCGATCCGCCCCGTTCCGACTTATATACTGCGTGCACTAACTACACAACTTTTGGGAACGTTTTAGCAAGATGGTTTGAAAACTGAGAGACTAGTTTACATAGAAACAGAAAGACGGACAGATGAACAGACGTATTTCGATTCAGATCGTGATGCTGATCAAAAATATATGTATATACTTTATGGGGTCTGAGGTGTATCCTTCACTGCGTTGCAAACTTCTGACAGAAATTAAAATACCCTTTGCTCTGCAAAGGTATAATAAACATAAAGTACAATATTGACATTACATATGTATGTAGTATATGCCAGCGCACACCAAGTACGTTTACTGGCTTTTATTTATACCATTGCAGAGGATTTTTTAATTTTAGTCGGAAGTTTGCAACGCAGTGAAGGATATTATCATAAAGATGTGAAAAACATCGACTCAATAATGGGAACCAAAATTGTTTATATATATATATATATATATATATATATATATTTTTTTTTAATATTTGGTTGAAAAAATCGACCCAAAAATCGAAACCAAACTAAGGATGCAGTTGTTTAGGGGACTATGTCCCCTCGATTTTTTGATCTTTTCTATGTACATATGTCGGCTATAGTTGTCTTATTTTTATGAATTTTTGTTTTCCGACTGAAATGTTAATACAATCTGCAAGGGTATAAAAAACATCATAACTTCGATGTTGATTAGCTTTTATGTTGTTTGTTCGACATATTTGATGATTGCAAGGGAATATAAGCTTCGGTTTGCCGAAGCTAGCTTTCATTCTTGTTTCTATATCACTCTACTCGGTTTGTGTTTTGCTTTTCGAGGATTCTCCAAGTTCACCCCAAGTTCGTTAGTTATGTAAATGACTTTGCTTAGTCTTCTTCCTTGGCATCCTAAGTAATTTTACCAACAGACTGGCAACGCCGTTATTACTAAAGAGCACATACATACATACAATCCACGCTCACGCATGTTTACGCTTTTTGAAAGGCGCAGATTTTAACCCTTTGGTAGCATTACCACCCTGGCAATTGGAAGCCCTATGTAGTAACTTATGTACTGCCAAAGAGGGGAAATTTCCAGCACATCACGCATGAAAATCGCGTTTATATAAGCAACTTTGAGTCTGTTTATGTACTTTGCATTTGAGTTGGCTTATGTGGTTGTGTACGTATCCGTTAAATTTTATTGTGCGTATCTGTCTTTTAGCTTTTTCACCTTTTGCTGATACCTTAAACATTTAAAAATTTTATTCAAAAGTTATACCTAAATTTCTTTTATGTATCTTTGGTCAGTTTACGTAAATTATTAAAAATTTAAGCTGAAGATTTGCGGCACCTTTTTTTCGCATTCTAGTAGTATAGTAAACAACGAACTATACCCAAATACCGATTGATATATAACTTAAATAAAATTTATTTGTATCTCAATTTCAAAACAGAAAAAGTTTTTTTAAGGTATTTAAAAATACTTTACTGATGAAGAATTTAGCAACGCTTTAAATTTGTTGGGCTGCACGGTTTTTCCGATGAAGAAAAAAAGGAAAAAAAAATCATATTCAATTTTAAAACTAATAGAACATTTTTGTTTTATTAATTTGACTATTAATTTATAAAAATGGTTATCTCTTAGTGATGGGAAGCAAGTGAACAACTTAAATGAAAATAAGAATAACAAGAAGATTCACATCGTCATTTCATTAATCCAAGCTTTTTTCCACCCACTCTTGCTCTAAGCGAAACATAAAAATTTAAAAGAAATGAAACCCCAAGGACAAAAAGTCTGTGCATGCGGACTTTCAGTATTTTTCTAAATTCTGCTTTGATTAACATTCGTTTATGGGTGGAGGCACTACCTCCGTCTGGAACAAGACCACGTCTTTTAATTACTTTTGGGGGTAGTTTTTAATTCTGCTTTCAGTTTTTCTTTGTACACAGAAAACAAGAGAAAGCACGAGACCTAACTTGAAGAAAGTAAATTTTTCTGAGAGGGGTTTCATACGTCCCTGCATATGTACCAACATTCAATAGCCATTAAGCGTTTTTTCTTAAATTATCTTGGAAATAAGCGCAATTCAATTACAATGCTGTATCTATTTTTGTCGCATAATTACATCGAAAGATAAAGAAGAGGTTGTACTCAGTCTGGTTTGCCGCCTGTGGGTCATATTGTAACAGATTCGTCGACCGCTTAAACATGATATACGTTTTTTCCCCCTATTGTCCTCTTGGAAGCGGAAATAACATAATTGACCTCAGGGAATGGACAAACACCGATGAAAGGGGCGGTAGTGTGGAAAATCGAATGAACTGACCAATGCCCCGGAGTGATTTAGCCTGTTGCGCCGGGCTACGCAAATCCAAACTGGACAAAGAGGGTCGTCATATCCACGCAGTCCACCCCTTGCCTTGCGAACTTCCCTGGAGGTCAGTATCTGTTTGCGCTGAAGGGGGCTGGTCAGTAGGATGGTCAGTTTCATGTTTAAGTCGCGTGTGTGTCGTGTAAACAAATCCATTACAAACGCTAAATGCGTTTATAACCACTTATTCACATTTGAATTTTAAATTAGCACCATTCCCCTGCATGGCTTTATGGTCAGCTTAGGGGTCACTCCATTCATGCATTGGCCAGGGGTTTTTTATTGTTATTTAAGTGGCTTTAAAATTACTGATAGAGCTGTCTTTTAGGGGTCAACGAATGTTGTCCGATTAGAGGTAATTAAATCGTCACTTATGAAAAGTCCCAATTTTCTGCTTGAGTAACCAATCGCCTTCATAAATTGTTATCAGCATATCATCTGAATGCACCATTCAAACCAGGTTTTCATGTGCAAAAAAATGCGCTTTTATTGTACACCACTTGACTGAAGCTCAACTCGCATTCAGAGAAGTCAAGTGCGAAATAATACTCTACCCCTCCCCCTTTCACGGGCCCTCGGTCGCCCTGCTGTTGCAGCAACAGCGGACTGCATACTTGCAGCCTGAAAGTCCTTTATTACAGTTAACTGAGAGTCAAACGAAGTGCAACAGTCAACGTGCTTGTGCATATGCATTTTAATGCAAAGCAAAGGCTTCCTCAGCCCTGCTACCCGAGGTGTTGCACATGCGGTGCAGACTCAGCCTTGAGTTACGTTATCCTTTACAAATTGTTGGGTGACTCCCCTTTTACTAAGTGATTCAATGGGCTGGCTGGGTATGCCAGTGGAAAGAGAAAATTGGGTCAGGAGAGGTACAAGGCACGGCATTTTGCAGTTTTTGCACTTCAATTTTGGAAGGGAGCATCGCAACAGGTGGGGCTGCTCACTCATGTAATTTGGTGGAGAAGTTCCCCAACGAAAACAATCATATTTATTTGGGGGTCCTGTTTAAGTTACTTATTATAAGGTATTCAAAAATATAGATAAGTATCATAACCAATTAACCGATCACGTTTTCTGCTAAGCTACGGACTACATTCTCATCGTAATCTTCGATCTCATCGTCTCCATCATCAATGTCGACATCACTCGGTCTCACTGGATAGCCTTGCTCTGGGGGAACGATTTTAACTCCATGATCCCCGAACAAGAGACAATCAAAGTTTCTGAAATCGAACAAATTGTGTGTCATATAGGATAGATTTCTCACACATCTTTGATATCATACCTTTCGAACAACTCAAAGCCCTGAAATTCTCCAGACATGTACATACAGACATGCATGTTGCGTCCAACAAACCAAATATCATGGAACTGAATACAGGCTTTAGCAAAGTTAAAGCGTGGCGGTCGGAAACAGAATGGAGGAGGATTTTGGCCGGAGACCTTCTGCCGGAACCAAATATTGTTGTTAACGCGCATACGCAACTCAAACGAAAATTCATCGGGACGATATGCGACCTCAGTGCAACTGTTCATGCCAATTACCGAAAGAAAACCTAAACGCAAACATAGAGACTTAGTTTGCCCACAATTTTACTCACATTTGTAACTAAAACCTACCAGCACAGCACTTGCACAGTCCAGTGTCACAGCTACAGGGTATCCGGTTTACCAGGTTACCTAGTGTTATGTTGGGTAAGCTAAGTTGTCTGGACTCTTCCTCGTGGTTGAGAAGATTAAGGCGATGGTTAAGTAAGCCAAGCTGCAAGGCCGCATCGTATGCCAAATCTTCGGTTGGAGGTAGCAATGGTACTATGGATTCATGAGATTTAGCAGCAGAACTAAGAACCAGCAGATGCAAAGGTATTACGCTTCAACCTGCTTTTTATTCGATTTTGCTTATATATAGATGTTAGTAGTTCAAGTCTATTATTACATAAAAAAAAACTTACGGAGAAGAAACAAAAAATAAACAACCAATTTTGACCAAGCATCCATATTGAACTTCCGCGTGTTATGCTAAACAGTTCCGCATCAAGCTTACTGACGTAGCCGGCAAGCCAAGAGTCAGAGCTATCGTCTAACAGTTTCAACTATTAACCTTGGGAGCGCAAACGAGTTCTGTGAGCCAAAGATGTGAGCGTGTTTTGATGTCAATGAAACCGTCGGAGCGGCTTAAGCGAGATTGCTTTATTGAGAGTTAGGTGGTCAAGATCATGGACAGCAGAGAGTCGGCAGTCGAAAAGAAACCGAAAATAGCGGTTGCATTTGTTTACTGCGGATGCTCGTAAGCTTTGTAAGTGAAAATAGTTGAAATTGACGTACTTAACCATTAACCACCCAATTTGTTTAGATAAATGATTATTTTTAAAAATTTTAAAGAAACCGTTGAGTAACGTTCATTAATCATGAAAATTAGTTTATGAAATAAAAATACTGGTAATTTATTATGAATCTTACTGTGATCGATTTGGCTTAAGTATAGAATGCAAATCCCACACCAAACATAAATGAAACCCAATTTAGGAATTATAAAATTTACAAAAAATATATACACGTAATATAAATAAAACACCATCACACATATACGTACAAGGCAACGATCTTTATTTTAAAGTTTAAATAACACAGTAATGGTAATTATTATCACAAATTTAATTCTACACAACTAAATATATATTTTTTAAAACATCTCTCCACCAACTTCTTTTATTATAAGCCTTAAAATATTTACAGGATTAGGAGATAAAAATAAACTATGTACAGTTGTGGGACCCTACTGAGTACATCGATATTCGATGTACACAACTACTATACTTTACATTCTATACATTGTTTCACGTAAGACAAACATTTACAAAACGAAAAAATATCGGCATGGCAAACGGGTTAATAAAGTTAATAATTAAATAATAGAAGTAGGACATAAAATGAGAGTTCTTTGTACTACCGGTGTCCGATTTGGAAACGGCTAGAAGTGAAGCAGCACATAGTATATAAAAGAACAGACGTGGATTGGAGCTGGCCGCTGGCATCTTGGCACGACGATCAGACCGGGAAATCAATTGAAATGAAGGTTGCTATTGACCTGCTTTGGTGCCCGTGATTTCACACGCTTATATATTTGCGTCGCGTTAAAAGTATTAAAGGTATATTTGTTTGTGATCGTCTTCTCTTGCTGCCTTTCCTTCGTTGTTTAGTATTTCGATTTGTATACACCAAGTAAGAAACTCGACTGTAAAACGAACTTTCGCTTTTTTACAAAAACCGACGAAAGTTTGTTGAGCACCAACTTTAATTTTAGTTTCTATAAAGCTGCGTTTACTGGCATCTATATGTTTTTCACACTTGGCGCGGACTCAAAGCGCGGACCCAACTCCGTACGTGCTAATGGCCAAAATACAACTGGCCAAGAAAACGGTAGCGCATGCGCATGCTAAGCGAACGGGTCAGCAGACGCCAAGCGATCAGGTATTGACCATCGACAGCTCCCACTGCTCGACTTCAAAGGCAGAGTCGGGCGCCAGACAGCGATGACAAGTACGAAGTGCGTTAAAGTCGAAGGCAGTCGACTCTTTAAAGAGACAAATCTACCCTTCGGAAAGAAATATTGCCTACATTAAAAAACTTGCAGTCGCATGGAAAACTAGAACCTGAAACGAATGCTGATTTTGTTTTTATTTTTATTTTACTGAGTTTTACTATGCTTTTCTATGATAGCTGCTATACAGTTGTTTTCTTTTGCACAAGGTATAAAGTATTCGGTTTGAAAACAGTAAAAGAAACCAGTATTTTATGAATAGGTTTCTTTATCAGCGGTCGGCGGTCTGTTTTAATTTCTCTCAGCTCTCCTTCATCTTTTGCTGTTGGGAGACTCTAGACTCTCACTTTTCTCTGTTTGGTTCAATAAGGCAGTGGTTGGGTTGTAAAAATATACAGTTGTGACTTGTCTCGACAACAGGTGTTTTGATCTACCAATTTCCTATAAATACCCAATTTTGTAGGAGTTTTTTCTACCATAGTCCTATCAAAATGGATCATTGACAATTTTAACTGATCTTTGGCTAACATTTTAAAATTTTGTGTCTAGTAGACTCTGCAAATAATATTACGGAATAATAAATAAAGTGGGAAATATAAAACGAAATTTCAGCTGCTGAAACCACTAAAGAACCGAAGACATTTGATATATACATAAGTATCTTCAGAGCTACAATCAAAAATTGATTTGTGAAAGCTGCCTCCCCAAACAGCAGCTAGAGCACGACAATCCCGGCTTTTTTAAGCCGGAAAAATCTGCAGGTAAATCATGTAAACTCAATTTCGTTTGCTCAATTTTCCACTTTTGGCAGATATGTCAAAATAGCTCTGAGAGGCCTTCACTTAAAGTCGTGAATAAACATTTGCTGCGGCAGGCTCGCCATGTCCGTGGCTGCTATTGTTTGGTAGCTTTGGTCGTATAATAACATGTTAACTTATAACATGCCATCAATCACTTAAATTTCGTTCTTTCTTTCTTAGTATGGCCACGGGCTCGAGATGTTATTTGGCCCAAGGACCAGACGCAAAACAGGAATGTCCACTTGATATCATGCATGCGAAAATAGCAACTGGTCTGAGCCGGATCCCGAGTAAGCGATGCATGATAAAAAATACTTGTGGGGGTTCAATGGGTTTTAAATTAAATGTATGGAAAAAATCGATGTACAGATATATTTTTTTAGCTTAACATGCAAGTCCTAATGTTATTGTAAAACTCTTATAAGTAAATACATAGCATATATTTTTTTATTTCTGTGCAATATTGTAAGCTACTTTAAAAATCTTTTTGTGTTTTTGCAAAAAAAAATATCCACTTGAACTCCCTTTAAACCATTCTTCGTTAGCAATTTTTGGGGGTTATAATTAACCCTTTTGCATGAGCAACATGTAAAAGGATTTTTCCATCTCCCTTAACCATGGCAACCACTTATGGCGTATATCTGAAAATTAAAAATATGAGAACAACAAGTCGGAAGAGCAAAAATTAGTTTTTTCTTTTTGGCAGAAACTGCCAAAAAATGAAAAAAAGAGTGCAATATGCAGGCATATATTCTCTAAGGACACTTGACTTTCGGCTTCTTGTTGCCTTTTGGAGCTGCAGCCAAACAGAGGGGGCGCTACAAAGGCTGTTGACAGCTCCCTTGCGTTTCTATGCCGCAGTCATAGACTTTTTGTAGACTGTAGACATTTGGCGGTGCCAATTAATTAAGCGAAATAAAGGCCAAACAAGCTGCAACTGCAGAAGAAAGCGTTCATTAGTAGCTTCAGGGGGTGGCAGTAAGAGTGGGTAACTCCAGGACGATGTAAAAATTGCACAGATTTCGCAATTTCATTTGAAACCCATGCACTTTTATTCCTTCAAAATGCCGAGCTTTAATTTGTAATTAGTGCAATTCAATCAGCGAAGCGCCGATCTGGGGGCGATGCGTTTGGTTGCTGCCATGGTCTTGCCGCAGACGTAGACGGTTTGAGAATATCCTCGACGCCTTTTACCACCTGCGGCTTGCAGTGATTACGAGCAACATGAGCATAAAAATTGCTTGCGCTTTGTAGACACAAGTCTACAAGGGGGAGTCTGCCGATGGCCTGGTGGTGCCGTTCATGGAAGTCGAAGAACTGGAACTGAGCCCTGATCTGCATCTGTCCGTCTGCGATGCTGAGATCTTCAAGAATTCAATAAGCGCGTGACAGCCCGTGAAATCCAAATCTCTTTGTCTGCTTGCCAATTTTAAGGCGTCTGCGTTCCTTGTTACGTATGTATGTCCTAACTTAAGTCCTAACTTAAGTCGGCGTCTTGCAACTTTCTCATGTCACATTATGCAGCTGATAGAGGTTTCCACTCGACCGGCTATCGACAGTCTTGAAACGGAGCGGAAAAAGGTGTATAACTTAGATTCGATGCTGTTAATTACTGATCAATTTTCTACTCTCCCAATGTACTTTAAAAGTTTTTTCTTTAAGTCACTTTTTGTCCGATAGACATTTATTCGTGGTCAGCTTTAGACTCTTAGACAAATAACATAACATCGACATTTTAAGTTGGCTTGTTCAGCAACATTCAAAATGAGCATGCATGTGGGTTGAAAAGAAGGTAAGTACAAGTGAGCATCGCTTAGTTTGATACCACCTGTTGGCCCTTTAATAGGGGTCATGTCCGCACTGGGGAGCCTTTGAAGCACTCCCCATAGCTTGTTTACCTGATGGCCCTCTACTATTTAATGGGAGTTAATAATTTTTGGAAATTTTGTACCAACTTGACTTGCCTTAGGCGGTGTTTTATCTTATCAATTACAAAATACACGCATTGTGGACTGTTCATGTGAAATATTTCTCCGACAACTTTTTACCTGAGATCAACTCATTTCCATGCGGATTCAAGGCGCACTCTTGTTTAAATTTCCGACAATCTTAACGCAGTCACGTCCCGTATGATGACGATAAAGTCAGAGCAAGGCAATCAAAGATGAAGGAAAACTAATCAACTCAGCAACTTAGATGGCCATTGAGCAATCTCTCACGTATGTAATTCCCATGAAAAATTTTACAGGAACCTATTGGTGATGATGAAGATGTTGGGGACGGAAAGCACCGAAAACGGGAGCCAAATTATTGAAGGCGGAATAATAATTTTAGAAACTTAAGGGAGACGCAGATGGTCAGCTCGTGAGTTACATGCTCGTGGATTAAAGCGTGGCCAATCGATTCGCCAAACGCAACGCACATGATTGAATTGCACCAGTTGTAACGTATTTGGAGCTCTCCGACTGCGTTGGTAGTGCGGTAGTTCAACCTTAGGTTCAGCACAATTTGCAGCGAAGCAAATAAAATGCTATCTGCACGATCTGAGCAATCGATCGGGCACCAATCGCTGCCCTCTGTGCGTTGCTGTAGCAACACGTAGGGACCGAATTTTTTTAGCATTTCGCCAGCTACTTGTTACGGGTCAGGCGGGGAGCGGAGCCATCATCAATTTCGTTCTGGCTTCTCAGTCCCTTAATCCCATGTTTGTTTGCATTAGCCACCGCAGACAGGCAGCAATTATGTCGTTTGGGCTTCTGATGGCAACCGGGACTGTGACGGGCTTCCTGACTTGTGAGAGGAGCGCAGCCCCAGTTGATTTTGGGGTGAAGCAAAGCTAGCTAGTTTCTGCGAGCATTCGGCTCACAGAAAAAGAGTGCTTACACTTTGGTATTGGGAATGCATAACGAGTAATGAGGAGATCCCATAGTCTGGTACCAAGCAATCGGAAAGAGTATGCACTGTTTCACCTGGCTGACTGCGTACTTCCAATTTGATTGCTTCAGACTTTGTGGCGCATATGAATTATGGGTTTCGTTTGGTTTTCAAATCGGTAATCGAGTCACATTCCTTTGGTCTGCACTTTGGCTTTGCGACTCGGCTATATTCTGTGCTTGTTTTCACGTTCCCATTGTCGGTTAGTGGGCCATGGGAAATGGTGTCCTCAGCGCCAGACTTATTATGGCGCGTAGCCCCATCTTTTCGTTTCTTTTTTGCTTGCTCTCTACACACTCTCGGCTACACCCACGCATCTCGAATTTGCAAATATGCGTATATTATGCGGAAAACAAAGGAAACCCCTTCTTAATGGATCCCTTTTTTAACGCTCTTAATGAGGACCAAATTTATTCTTTTAAGTCTAGGAAATATTTTCCGAAAATGTGTATACACTTTGATGCATACATATACTGAATAAAATTAGTAATAACCTTTAACAATTAGGTATCGCAAATTTTGGATCGAACGACTGTTTATTATTAAGTTTATCATTAAGTTCTTTTCAGGATATAAATAACTTTGTTGTCAATTTTAGCACTTTTCTTTAAAATTCGTAGGTAACGTTCTAGACACTTAATTCGTAGGTAACGTTCTAGACATTTCAGCTGCACATCACTTAATAATTCTAAAATCAAGCATTATAAAACGACTCTCCTATAAATTGATTACTCCAAGGACCTTCCAAATTGAGTCTCGAGAAACACAGGCCCATAGCACCGGCTTACCATACGCTTCGACTGGATTCTGTCAGGATCCGTCTTGGTTTGAGAGGAATAACGCACGAAAACCGTCTACAAAAGTCATTAAACGAAACTTTTGCGGCATTCGGGAGCAGGTTCTCGATGCTTATGCCTGACTGATTTGGTAAATTCGCATTTGTATCGAATTTAAATAAAGTTCTCTTCGTCGCAAGAAAAAGTTTTGATTTTCATGAGAGAATGAGTTTGCAATTTATTTCCCAAATTTTCTTGTCTTTCCTCTGTTTCTTTTCTGGAATTGCAAATAATTTGTAATGAATTGACAAAATTTTACTGGAACAGGGTGACTCTTACCCACCTTCTCATATAATACGATTTTAATGAGAGAGACAGTATAGGGCTTTAGCTATAATCAAGCAACTCCTTGGGGGTGTCAGCGAAAGCACTGTCCGCGACCTGTCAATTAAATTAAATGCTGCGTTCCGTTCGAGAGTTCGAGGCTCTGGTTAATTTCGATTACGCATCTTTCTTTTCTTGGCCCGTGGCCTGCGGGTTCTGATTTAAGCAAAGTCATGCAATGACAATACTTGATTACCCCGGGCACGCCATTCAAACGTGGAATGGAAACCGTATAAAATTGTTTGTTCTGACTAAGTTTAATTACTTTCTCACATGCAGCGAGCGTTTGTGCGTAGTTTTCTGTATTCAATCCGAACCAATCTGTTGACTGCTTTTAGGCGGCACTTAAAGTGGCAAATTGTTACAGAAACGACAGTATAATCCAACGGACACATATTATTTGAGGGCAAATTTGGGACTATTTTTATTTAAATTCAAACGAAATGGCTTTGAGAAAACATAAAAATTCAGCAAATATTCAGAGGGAATCTGGTTACGGGCCGTTTAAATTTGAAGGTAGCACAAAGGTGCAAATAATCGACCGGCATGGCAGGCGAAGGCAGATGAAAGTACGCTCAAGTAGTCTCGGTGCTTTCTAGTGTTTGCATCGCTTATTCAACTTTACCCTGTTCCAAAAAGAATAAGAGAATCGCCAGAACAAGTGTCTATGTGAGATTCGGAATGGGTGTAGGCTGGGCGGTCCTCTTGGGCGTCTAGGAATCTCAAAAATGTGCACAGACTCCGCGTCATCCGTTTCCGCCCGCTTATCCACGACGGGATCCAGCAACAACGGCAAAAGTAGCCCCGACCTGAGCATTGCCGACGATGTCTGGCAAGGCGATTTAGCAAATTAAAAGGTTTTTAATGCATGGAGTGCTCCCTTACTTGCTTCATAATTTGATGCCAACTGTGCAATGCAAAAGCGAATACGGCTGAGTCCACAGGACGAGCTGAAACCCTGAATCCGCATTTGCCTCAGTGAGCTGTCTTTTATTTTTAACCAAGACTTATATTTTTTTTTTCTGGAAGGGTTTCTCCGCAGAGTTTTTGGCTCCGTAGGCTCCGTAATTTCCTCGTTGACTTCAGCAGACGAAAAATTTATAAGCGGCAGGATGCCAGGATTTTGTGTATTAATTGCAAAATAAAATACCTGACATGTTTTTGACACGACAACAAGGCGAAAGTAAAAAATATCAGTTTTAAACCAGCAACATTAGAAACAGACATCGCTTGCGGTAATTCAAAAGTTAATTTCCTCAAAAAATAAACGCCTATCGCAGACGTGTTAACATCCGATTAAACGACATTATACCTCCACTCCTGATTTCACCAAATCTTAATGAAGTAATATATTCAAACCCTCTTAAATCGCTACCGCAAATTACACACTTGACTGCGACAGCCTCACAGCTTCGGCACATTGTTACATCGCGAAAAACTGCAAAGGCAAAGCGAAGCCGTATTTTGCAGGCGCATACACACGACAACTGTCACGTGTTCCGTTAAGTGCTATGTTCTGGAAAATTTTGCAGGTCGGAAAATTCGCAAGCAAGTGGAGTGAGCGGCTTACACCCTTAACATGCTTACTTGTTTTTCCAATTCCTGACAGCCAATTTCCCTAATATTGTGTTATTGGCTTGTGTTTTTTTCACGGGCTCAGTCGTAATGGAGATCTGAACATTAGTACACTTTTTGACAACATTGAAGGTTATAAATGTTCAATTTCTTTCTGAAAAAAACCGATCCATTTAAGTACGCTTTGCGATTGCCAAAATGAGAGTTGAATTTTTGATAAATGTCGACGCGTGTGCGAGAATAGCTCGCTGAGGATGAATAAGGGGGGGGTTTGCAGTGCAGATTTTAATGTTTGGAAATTGTCATGCAAGTGAATTTACCCTTCACAAGGCTCTGGGCTATTTTTTGGTTACTTAAGTGCGCTACTTTTACCAAATTAAGCCAATTTTAGTATGGTGGATGTGAGAGCGATTTTATGATAGAAAGGAAAAGGTTTAAAGGAATGAAAATTAATGGTGGGAATCGGAAGGCTACAAACAAAAAAGAAGCTAAATTATTAATATAAATCCATGAGTAGGAGAAAATTCAAACTATTTTATACTTCACAAATAACTTGGAAACACAATTTCCTGTTGTGGGGTTTCAGTATTTTTAGAGCCTGCCCAAGAAACTAAAAGCAGAAGACAATCATAGACATTCACAATAAAGGCAGGCCTTGTGTGGGATAAGAAGGTTTAAGAACAACTACAAATTCCTGGGCAAGCAAATATTAATAATTTTGTGTACAATCCTTCGACTTTGGGAAGAGGTCAGACTACGTCTTTGTTTACGACGCAGTAATATTGAAATCAGGATAATTGTGCAAAAGGATGTGAAGAAAAAACCGCAAATACTTTTGGTCCAGAGCAAAGTGCCAGTTCCAAGTAGTCATTCATTCCGTAACGAAGATATCTCAAGAGCAATTTCAGTGCGACAAAAACGGAGAACAGGGAAAGCAGTGGACGGCGAAGGTTGAAGTGGAGTGAAAAACTCTACCATGCAGAAAGTGGTCAACATTTTTGCCACTGCCATGGGCAAGAATAAAAGACGTCGCCCAGCAAATGCAATCCGAACTCAGCAAAAAGGTAGCAATCATGGTGCCGAGTAGTCGTCGAATAGTAATAACCTCCATCCTAGTTTCTGTTGTGTGCTGGTTCACAGTGGCAGATTTTGCGGTAATAAACTATGGTATAAGACATTCCCCGTGCCCGTGGTATATTCTCGTAAATACAGCAGTGAAAGGCAAACTAAAATGAGCACTCATAACAGAAAAATAAGCAATTAAATTGAGTTCTACTGTTTTGAAAGTTCAAACATCTTTGAATTCGAAATGAGCAATATCGAAGCAGCTTCTACCAAGGCAAATTTGAAGAGTAAAAGCTTTCCATTCGTAAGTTTATTTTCTATTGAGGTACACATTCATTTACTCTTACCCAACAAATGAATGAGTCCTTTCGCTTGCAGCAGCAACAATGAGATTCAGGAGCACCTTAGGGCTCTTCTGCGCAACCCTACTTTAAACTCGAACCCAAAAATAACCTGAAATTAGCATTCATAAAACTCCTCACCAGAACCTCTGTCGCCATCCATCGTGACCGTCAGCGCATCTCAAAGGACGTTCTTTCATAATTAATTCTCGAACAGAAAAATGTTCAAAGATATTTTTGCACTTTTGCACAACCACCCTGGATACCGCTTTCCACTTCCCACCGTGCACTTGCCTTTCAAAATGTTCTGCTTGTGTGGCAACGTCAAAAGCAGCGACAGCCCAAAACAAAGCAAAATGCTAAATGCTAAATGCGGCGAAAAATCAAAAAGCAAAACGCGCAAAAGTAAAACATGTTTACCTCTACAATTTCACTGCTACTTTTTTCATGCGGGTGGGTGAATATGCAAATCGTCTTGGTTTTTTTTTTGTTTTTGGGTCTAGTCTCGCTGCTTTTCGGGCTAACTAACAGCACTGCACTGCCTCGGCTGCTATGATTTATATACTCACGGCGTGCGCGTATTTATCAAACTCTAATTAATCGGTGATAAACCGATCAAGACGCTAAATGCTGCGCTACACGAAGCCGCCAAGACGACGAAGACTCTTGGCGGACTCTCAGAGCGGATCTGCACTTTGCGCCTGCAAACGGGTTTGGAACACCTCTTTCCCTAAGCTGGCTTCGATTGCTTTTACGTTTCTGGTTTCTGTTTCGTTGTGCACCGATTACCATGTGATTCCGACTCCATCCTCCGCGGTCCCCCGACCCCCGACTCCCGTCCCACCCTACCAAACCAACATCATCGCCCACATCTTCAGCCCCCTTGCGTCATCCATTTCGGGAGTACGAATATTTGTTGAAGCAATTTGCTTTCCTGAATCTTGTGGCTGACCAAGGCGACTGCGATGCAATCAATATATGCTCGTGTCCAGCAAATAATAGACTTCAAACTGGCATTTTAAGCGTTCCTTTTTTCATAGCCAGCGTCTCAGTACGAAGTGCGACTGGGTCTGCAACAGCTCACCCAGCGTTTTGGGGATACGATTTAGCTCCTCTCTCCGTGGGCAGACAACTTTTCCCTCAAATGCTCTCATAGTAAAAGGTAAAAATAGTTGGATTTGCGTTGAACGTACAGGGGGCTCCTTTACTGCCAAGCCGCCTTGGAACAGAATCCCAGAGAACCCTTTTCACCTTCAGACTACGAACATCCTGTATATTCTGAAGCAATGAACTCTAATCCACTTTGGCAAATCAAATTATTAGCCACGTATGACTTATGCCTTTTTAAATGTGCGCTTGCATGTGTTGTCTTGTTTAGACTCGAGTGTTTAAAGGCTTGCCAGGCTACGGAGGTGGGCTTACTCGCAAAGTGCTCCCAAACTGAGGAGGCTCAAGAAACTGATGATAACATGGTCTGCGTAGCGCCCTCTAGTATGTAATTTGGTGTTGTTTAGGTATCACGAATACGATTCGACTTTAACTGCGATTTCTCCCAGCCCCATTCCGGTGCAAATAGACCGTAAAATACGAGAACTCGAGTATGGATTTTTGCAATAGTTGCTTGGGTGTAAGCCATGATTATCTCCGCTGTAAATGATATGTGTGAGTTAAATCTAGTTATGTAGGAGAGCATTAAGCGTCGATAGTAAGCGTGTGAATCGAACGATGGGATGAGTGCCCTCCGGTCTGACCTCCGAGCTTATTTATGGGCGCGTAATAGTGACCAGACACAGCCTCCTAATTCAGCCAGCACATCCTTCCCAAGGTCCCAAAGCGTAAAAAGTTTGCATTTTCACTTACCTTACAAGGCGGCGCCCGTTGCCAAAACGGTGGTGGATGGAATGATTAGTTTTTCTGGTTTTACTTTTAGAGCAACTTCCGCCATCAGCGGATCTGCACATAAACGTTGAGTATAAATTGAAAAAGCCATTTTGCTGCCAATTTAGCAAACACTTAAACCAATTTTGCACTTCAATCCACCAACGCACACAGAAAGGCAGATTCTCACACTTCTTCAGTTCCTTGCCAGCTGTAGCCACACATTTGCACATTTTGGATCCCCGGCAAAATGACAGTCCGTGCAGCTTGCATCGACGCCGACTTTGACGCGCCAACAAGGACCATCCAAAAGTCAGTTGCCCTGGCCCACAGGAAGGAATGTGAAGCATCAGAAACGCTGCCAACAAAGTGTGAAAATTTCGAGTCGTAAAATGTTCACTGGCCAGAAGCACGGTTCGGGGGCAGATGGGGTTCGGTCTGTAAGTGAAATACTTGCGAGGAAGTGGGAAGTGGGCTCCAACTTCCTTATCTTCCCAGGCAGTTTTAATTTAATAGTCTACTTTAGCAGTGAAATCTGGACTTGGAGTTGGTGAGAGCTCAGTTACGTAAAGGAGAGAGTAGTGAAACGAAAAATAGTTCTCAGTTAAACTAGCATCTAGTCGCCCTCTTGGGAGAACGTATATACATATGTGTAGTCGAGTCTGTCAGTAATTCGTAAAGTCAACGAAAAATGTCCTGTATTTGCCAATTCCATACGCCAGACGAGGAGACACCAGTGCCTGCTCCACTTGATACTACTGATGATGCCCCCTTACCAACGAGTTCGACAAACGAGTGAGCATCCTTCTGATCACCTTTCCGCTGGCTACTATTTGATTTTTTAGTGCTGCCAAAGAACCACAAGAATCAAACGCTTTCAAGACCGCAGTGTCGGCCTCCGCTCTAGCTGACTGTCGTTCAGAGAATTGGCTACTTAAGAAGAAGTTGCGGGAATACGAGGTTACCATTGAAAATCTGGAGCAGCTGGTGACCACTATAGTTGAGAAGCAGCATCAGATCTTAAGCGAAATGTTTTATCTCCGTAAGGAGAACCAAGAACTGCAGACCGAATGCCATCTGCAACGCGAATATCACTCAATGGAGAGGAATGCGCTGATGAGGGAGCTGCACGACGCTCAGACTTTGTGCCGCAGTCGAAGTTTTCTATTGGTGGGTGTGCAAAATTAGCCAGAAATATTCTTGTACGTACATATACCTATAAATTTCTTATAAATATTGACGATCACAGGAAAGTAAGAGTGGTTCGAGCTCAAAGCCTAGAGCTCCACCTTTTAACTGCGAATCCCCTCATGGTGCAGATGCATACACGAGTGAATCTGATCAGTGTGACAACGGTTGCGGCAGCAGTGAAGATCAGGAATCGGATCGCGAAGAAAATTTTGAGGAACTCTCAGTTTCAAGTTTGACGGAAAGTTCTGAAAATTCTGCACATGAGGGATCAACATCGGGTGACCAGGAGTCGGATGACAACAGATCTCGCGATGACGAAAGCAATGATGATGATACCATTAGTAACAGTGACTCGGACTAAAGCTAAGTGTATATTTTTCTGTATAAGTACTTCTTATCTTTAAAGTTATTCCTTACACCAGTCTTTATTATTTTTATTTATCGCATTAAGTAATCAAAGCCAGAACGTGACAAACGTACAGAGCAAACCAAACCAAACAATAAATTTGAAACTCCGTGACGGCATATCGTCAAACAGACAAGGTAATGCAAAGAACAAATGCATCAAATGAGAAAAGGGAGAAAACCTGTGCAAAGTATTTGCATATCAAAACGCTAAAGGGCTGTTAAAAAACCTTAGTCGTTCGTTGCCGCACAAATATGATTGAATGGTTGGTAAATAAACGGGGGAGTATTTAAATCACTGGCAAAAACGTGTTATGTTAAGTGTTTATCTATCGAAAAAGTTAAACGCAAAAAACAGCAGCAATCCCTTTTATAGCTTCTGGCTGAGCTCAACGTGGACTGGGATTGTACAAGGAAAATGGTAAGAGATCGAGAATGTGTGGTAGTGCTGCTTGTGTTCCGGGCAATTTATCAAGCTCGAAAGTTTTTAGCACAAATGAGTCGAGGCAAGGTAGTCGAAGGTCCCGGCTACCCGTTTGCCACCAGGATTAATGAGTCTCGTGTGCTTCCTCTGCTGCCTTTCCTATTCTATATCCTTAAAACCCGCTTCAAAACACGTACCAATAATCCATCATCAGCCCTATTCAAGTGGCAACTTGAGGAAGCTTTTGGATTGCTTCACAGATCTCTTATCTTGGCTGGGTTCTGTGTGAGGTTCTTGGATACCATTTATGCGCACTGATAACAAGGTAACTTATGTCATAAACGAAACTTCTGGCGTACAGATACCTGTTTCAAGCCAAGAGTCTTAAGTTCTCTGTTCGCACAAACAAAAGAAAAACAAAAATTCATTGTGAAGCATAATGCAGCCCCACAGCAATTATTAATGACCAATAGCTTCGACTCTATGCATATCGAGTCAAGAACTGTTTGCAATATCATTAATCAAGGGAGCATTTTATTCGGATACTTGTTGCGCACAAAAAAGATTTTCGTGTACACGTAAGAATCCCAACGAATGCCTTTACACTGAAAAGCTACTGATGGCTACCGCAGCACAAATGACTCGGGTAAGAGATGTGAAACCAAACAAGCCATGAAAGGAGAATGCGCTTTAACGACTTAAATATATTAACATGCGAAGCCAACCTGGCAACCAAAACGTTTTGCAATTCGCAACTCTTATGTTAAGGTGGCTTGAAACTGCATTGGTGTTGTTGGGATAGTGTCCCATATCGACTTCATGACATCTGCATCTCCCAAGCCAGCAACAAGTAGCTCGAAAGAGTATTTGATAAATCGTCTTCCGCTTTTGGTTACTACCAGAGGTCCTCTTACATGCAGACACATGACAGCAAAAGGTTTATAAGTGCTTGCTTGCTTTCCTTTGCGAATGACTAATATAATTTATGAAAGAGAGGTTGGGCCGTGCGTTAAATTCAGTAGTACAATGCCAAAAGGAGTGCAATCCTTCTGACAGTAAGCTATAAAAAACCGTTTTTTCTGGATCAACGCCTACCTATTTACTCAACCGTGTAAATACACAAAACATTCGCAAAAAATGCAAAAACGGTTTCGCGTGTTCTAAGCAATTTCGATCCAATAATCATTGGGTGTCTTTTAAATTAAGTAACCGGAACCATGCAAGCCAAATATTAAGTCATATTGACTGGCCTGTTTATAGAATGATGATGTGTGTAATGGAAAAGCGGCAAAGACTTTTTGTTATTTTTTCGTTAAACTAATCTAAAATTAAAATCATTTTTTACTGTGCCCGCACGAATAAATGATACATGACGGCTGATAAGTCTTTGGCGAAGTCAAGTTGTAAAATGTACACGCTACCATTGCAAGGTTAGATAAAAGAAGGTATCCACATCTAGACATGTTTATGCTTTAATAAGAATGACAAAACATCTTAACACAGAAAATTATAATTAACGAACCCAGAAAGACTTTCTGATTGCCATGCGGTATATACATTTCCCATATAGAAGGGACGGTTTTCTACCCTTAGTTGACAGTATAATTTAATTCAATGAACCGCAAAGTTAAATAAACGAAAGCCTCCAATAACATAGGCAAACCAAAGTTTCTCTCTCTTAATTGTAAACCTTTTTCGTTTATACTGCGCGACTCTTCTAATAACTTTTGTATTCGCTTAGACACGGCAACTATGCAAACAGCTTTAAGCTGCACCTTTCCCCAGGGGTAAATGATTTTATGTACCTTAATATATACACCCCCGGTTAAATTCGTAGGGTTTCTCATGCATATTAATGCCACTTAATTTTTTCGTTAGCCGAATTAATGAAATCGAAGAGCATTTATATAGCCCAAGCTATGTATATATGTATTGACCTGTTTGATTGTAACCCTTTTCTTTGGCAAATTACCCCATTTTTATACTCTTTTCCCTATGCATATTAATGAGTATGGATTTAATACAAATTTGTATTTATTTGGTTGGTTATAGTCACTTTGTAAGGGTTATAAACATAAAAGAAAATTGTTTTGTTGCTACAGAGGCATCAATTAAACACATCCTACGCCCAAAAAGTAACCATCGTCATGATTCATGAATGCTTGGCAACAAGGCTTCCAAATATTATACAAGATATGCGCATAAGCTTTTAGTCAGATTAGATTTTCTATGTACTCCAAGTCAAAAATGTAACAAGGAGAGCTAACTATAAATTTTTTTTATAAATCATACTGATTTCTGTGGAAAACCCCATTTTCTAAATTAGGGAAATATAATAGCACACAGCGAGGCAAGAGAAAGACGTGGAAAGTGCAACATGTGCTGCGCAAAAAGTACGGGTAAGATTACGATCGTTATCACCAAATCAGCGGAAAGGGTTGATTGAGCTGTACACCACAGGGCGCGGAGGAGGCTAATTCAGTTAACGATCGCTAAGCTCAAAGCCAGGCAAGCAGCACACATGTCCTCTTCTTTAGTCTCCCAGCCCCCGGCCAGAGGATCGGGCCAAATTGCAGTTGCCGTGGAGTTGGCCACGTTGTTTGCAGATCTCGCACCTTGGCTACTAGCAAAGCCAGCGATTGGAAAACGATAATGGCACCTCTGCCCGGTCAGCACTTGCACTTGACCACACTTATCCATCTTCATCGTAAAATGTTGTGATAAAGCGAACGGCAACCAGGAAGATCGAAATCGCCAACTCGCTGTGCAATACTTAGATTATGCTTAAGTAGACAGCAAGCTACTTAACCCCCAGCTAAAGCGGTTGACTTTGACCATCAGCTCTTGCTGAAGGACGGGAGGCGTAGAGTCGATTGCGGATTGTCTTGTTTTGGCAGGGCGTCATTTTTTAGTAAATTACTTTAATAGTATAAACATAATCATTTGTAATGCTGCTGCTCAGCTCGGCAACCAAGTAGGTACATGGCAACATTTAAGCGCAAGCTGCAGACGCTCACATTTTCGATGGTAATAGTAGCGAGCTCGTGCCTATGTTCTGGTTGTAATTTCACTCTAGTTTCGGAGCAGTCGAATCACTGTTATCTGGGTAACAGTGAAAAATTGAAAATTAATAGGAGAAAAGCTTTGTGTAGAATTTGGCTTTTATACCCTTACAGAGAGTCTAACAGTATATATTTTAATGTATATTCTAGTCATGTATATCCATAATCAGCATCAACTGCTAACATGCGTATTTTGGTATAATATTAAAAACTAGCTGAATTTTATGTTTTATGAGATATTGATACTTAAGATTAAAAACTTTTTTTAACACGAAACATAAATTACTAGTACTTTTTTTATTTAACGGATTTTATTCAAATTTTTAATTTGTCTGCCTCGATGAGGTTTAAGTTCAAGAGGTGAATATAACAAACGGAAACCTACGATGCACAAATTCGAGACTTCGAAACGCAGCTGTCATTTTTTCCTACCATTCACAAAAAGGTGTCCCCTGGCAAGGACCTCATTTAAATTTTTAATCAAGCCCATTTGCATACGCAGCATCCGTATGTGTGTACACATATATCGCTTACCTGGGCATTCAATATCAGTAGACAAAGATCCCCGAGGATCGCCCAAAAAGGGATTAATTCAAGCAGCTGGATGCTGGGTCTATTCAGAAAAGGGTTGATATCCCCTTTCGTATTTTCCTTTCACTATTGCGCGTAAAATTTTGTTTTCCTAGAAAATAAAAAATGCACACAAATTTGAATAAAACCGCAAGTAAAATGTTGCATTAAGGAAGAGAAACGACCAGAAGGAAAGCGCGAAAACCCCGAAAATTTCTGCATAATTTATTGAAACTTCGTGCCACAGACAAAGGAGTCGAAGCAAGACAAAAAACCTTTGCCATCACCCCATCTTAAAATTGTATAAAATGTGTTTCTATTTTCCCGCTTCTCCGTGGCGCTTCTCTCTGCATTATCCTTTTTGGCTTGTGTGCATTTATTTTTCATTTGCATGAATTTTTCATTGTTTTTCCAGACACGAAAGGAGCTGCCGCTAGGATGCACTTAACGCTCCGTGGGATCAAGGACAAACACGCAATATTTGTCAGCGGAAAATCAGCTTGCAAATCGGGCTCAGTTCACTTTTGTTCTCGGTAGACACGGGCTACCATTTAGTCATTCATTCTTTTTATATACTCGGAAGCTTAAGTAAATATTTTCTTTATTATAGAGCAAAATCTATAATTTTTTCTAGTAGCGTGCGGAAAATTGTAAACAAATTTTCAGGCAAATTGCTGTCACTTTATGTAAAGAGATTTTAGAAGAGAGAGATTTTTAAAAAATCAAAAGTTATTTAAATTTTTTTTCTTATTTCGAACTTTATTTGTTGTATGGTTTTTGGTGCTAAAATACTAAATAAACTCTGGGCCGATTTCAAAGTGGTATACCTCAAAAAGTTTATTATTGAGTCCTTTTAAAAACTACATTTTGATGTCAGATTATTCAAAATTTTCCGCTAAGAAACTCGATTCTCGACCGCCACAGCCTACAACTTTGGCAATTTTAGTCCGATTCCAAAGTGGCATACCTCTAAATGTTTCTACTCGCATCCTTGAGTAAACTACATTCAAAGTTTTCCTTTTTCTGATGGTCGATATTTTGACCTCTGTTCATGTCAGATTTCTCCAAGTTTTCCGATGTTTTTCGAATAGGAAACTTAATTCTCGAGACCCGCAGACTATAACTCTGCCAATTTTAGTCCGCTTCCAAAGTGGCATACCTCGAAATGTTTGTAATCGCATCAATGAAGAAACTGCATTCAAAGTTTTGCCCGTTTCTGATGGTCGATATTTTGACTTCTGTTCATGTTTCCTATGTTTTGCCAATAGGAGACTTAATTCTCGAGACCCACAGCCCATAACTTTGCCAATTTCAGTCCGATTCCAAAGTGGCATACCTCGAAATGTCCGTAATCGCATACTTGAAGAAACTGCATTACAATTTTTTCATTTTCTGATGGTCGATATTTTTACCCCTGTTCATGTCAGATTTTTCCAAGACTCTGATGGCTTATGAAAACTAAAAAATAAAACAACATCAGCCATTGTTCTACATTTTGGGGTGAAGAGCCTTAGATTCGATCTACAGCTAAATCCTTTACACGAGTGAGTCCATATCCTAACAACAACAACGGAAACGCATGCTTACCCCACCCTCGCCATTGCATTTATCTAGGAGAGGGTGGTAGCTTGTGTTGGTGGTGGTATCTTTGAGAACGGTGGTTGCTAAATGCAATTTATCATAAAAAGCAAAAAAAGATAGAAGCTTTAAATAGAAGCAGACGTCCCCTTCGAGAAAAGGGGGCATAAGAGTCAAAGTTCGTTGGGAAGGGAGGGCGATTGGGTAAGGGTAAACATGGCACACATAAAAACACCCACACGCAGCTCATCTAATAAGACGCATTTAGCGTCTGTCAGTCTCGAGTGTGGAACGATGGGCGAGCGAGGAAAAAGCAAATAGGAAAAAGTTATGGAGCTGTAATAAATTGGATTAGTTCGAGAAGCGACGCCATTTTGTCTTCCACACTGAAATTTATAAGCACTCAAAGCGGCATGAGCTGCAGTAGGGAAAAACAGCGTTTGCCTGGCCGCGCGCTGTTTTTCATTTGGAAGAGATTATAGCAGGAACTTCAGAGCTACAAAGAGAGGGGAAATAGCAGAAGCGCAGGAGCCAACTGAGTGCCTCAGAGCGCCACTTTTATTGATGTACGGATTGAGCGACCGTCACTTACCTAGCTTTAGGCTACGTGCCAAATCAAAATCAGACTCACATTATTTTTCCTGCGTCTTTCTCGAATTGCACTTCGATTTGCATATGAAAGAGATTTATTTTTTTATTGTATATCCTTATATTTGGCACCTTTACAGTTTGGTACGCTATATGATTCAATTCCAAATTTAAACGAGTTACCCTCTGGAATCATCCCATGTCACTTCTCAAATGTTCCCAATTCTATTCAGGCCAATGATTTCTGCTGAATTCAGCTATGTACCTTCTGTCGATTTGTTGTTCCTTATAACGTTCTTGCTGAAGAATTGATTTAATTTAAAAAAAACTGTTACCTATTATTAAGCATTTTTACAGATTATTCTCATTTTTTCACTTATAAAAATTAATTTTTCCTTTTGTTGATAGCATAAATTTATATAGAACATCTTTTAACTCTGTTCTTGTTTTCTATTTCTATTTTAGAAAGAAAGCAATTGTTCCTATTCGACGGGCGGATATGAATCGCTAATACAGAACAAGCCATAATAAGTTTTCGACTACACCTTTCTTTATACATATCTTTTTTTCTGTTATTACATTTAATTTTTTATCCACATCTCTCAATAAAGGCAAAGTCCCGAAGCACAGAATAAGTAATTTATCCGTCTTTGCCCGCTGTGTGCTAATTTATTTAGCCACCGAGCTTCTACCCCACATTTCAAAGCTTTGTTTTTCATCAAATGGATTTCATTTTGAAATCCAATAGCTGCCAAAAGGTAACTTTTTAACTATGACAACCCTTTCAGTTGCTATCTACTCTTACAGAGCTTGGTATATAGCATAAAATGAAACAATTTCGGTGTATATAATGTAGAATGCTATATGTGTGTAAGTACTCGTATACAGACACACTGTATTTTGCACTTTACGCAATTTTCCCCGCCAGCGCGAAAAGGGTTGAAAGTGCGTATGAACATAAAAGAAGAAACACCCCAACAACGAACGTACGCACTCGCGTTGTGGTGTTGCCAGATTGTCACAGCAAGCATCCCACGTTTATCGCTCTTGGCATCATCTTCGCGTCCGAAAACCCTTTCTCTGACGGACTCCGTTCCGCGTTGGCGGCCATTATTGTGTTCTTTCCTTCAGCTCTTTCCTTGCCATGGACAAAATCTTGCGTCAGGCCCTGGCCGTTTCCTAGCTCGTTTGCCTAATTTTCTTGAAAATATTTAACAGTAAACTTTCTAGATTTAGGGCCTTTCCGGCAAAACCATTTCAAAGGTTTCGTGGTTTGCTTTACTGCGGCTTTGAGTGAACTCTTACAAAGTCCCACCAACTTCATCCATATTATCTGAGGCGACCAGAGTTCTCGCGTTCTAGGCTCATTTTGTAAAAATAAATTTCTTAAAAGATACACTTTTTCTGCTCAAATGCGTTATACTGGCCTTTTCAATGTGAATTTTCGTTGGGATCTTTTTGGCTTTTGTTGGTAACCATGGCCACTGATGGGGCGATACTGCCCCACTGCTATGGGAAGCGATGTACTGGTAACTGGTAACATTAGTGGACGCTAGATAAAAACTGTTATTATTAAAATTTTCTGCAGAACAAACTGACTTATGATGTGGTCAGCTAAGCCGCTTGTAAAACACGAGATTTAAAGAGGTAGCTATTACTAAAACAAAACAAAAAAACGACAACATTCAATCCAATGAAGTATTACTTAAATTGAAATTTTTATCTTTGTATCAAAAAGAAAGAAAAATAGCAAAGGAAACAGAAAATAAATGTCTGAGGTTGGTAAAAACGCTTACCCCAAATTAGTTTTGACTTAATGAGTAAACATACATACGCACACGCTACGCAAAGAAATTATAAAAAAGGCTGTAAGGGCCCTTTGCCAAGTGCCCAGAAAACAAATAATTCCTTCTTGTCATAAGCGGCGTTCGTATATAAGCAAAAAACTCGTATACATTCTCAAGAAAGAAAAGAGATGGGTAAAACCAAGTATATTTTTAAATGTTTCGGGAATGACTCCATATAGTCTAGCTCCAGGGGTTGATTCTTATTATTTCTCTCGACCAGATCTTTAAGCTTCTTTGGCGGCGGAAAACAAATTAAAGAAAAAAAGATTTTTTGAGTTGAGAGAGATTACTTGAGTTACAGACAAAAATCAATTTTACCCAAAACTAGACTTCTACGGCTCTAAGTTTCACCGATTTGGAAAAGATTCAAAAGTAGCACAACTTTGTTTTGTTTATTTTGCGAACTGCAAGTTTTGTGTGCGTTTTTTGTTAAAATGCAATATAAAGTCTGCAGAGACGAACATTAATAAATTAGCACTGGCAGTCAAACACATGTCGCCTTGTGCGTTGCCATACTTCGTTTACCCCCAAAAAAAATTATTGTTACCGCTAACCATTTTTTGCCTTTAACACACAAACGTACCCTCTCACACTTTGCTCTTGAAATAAATTATTTAGACTCATTTAATGTGCCACTGCTGAAACATCGCCTTTTTACGATTTTCAATTCTTGTTTTTGCTTTTCCTTTCCACCCTTCAAATCCGTTTTTGTTCTCTTTGCGTTCATTAAGTTTTGGGTTTTTTTTTTCTGGAAAAAAAGGAAAATTTTGTTGAAAATGTGTCCCTTGTCGCTCCCAGACGGGACTATACGTTGTAGATTTTATGGAAGGAAAACACTCTTACTGCTTTGCTGGTTACTGCTGCTAGAAGAATATTTATTAAGCAAAAGAGAACCTAGCTTTCAAGCTGTTCAACATTACACAATAATTTCTAAATACATTTCGGTTTCATAACAAAGTTATTGCGTCACTAAATATGTATTTTAATTACAAAAGTACGTACTTAAAATACAGAAACTCCAATTATTATCTATTCTCATTTCTCTTAAAATGGAACCGATCCCGTTTATTTATGGTTCTATTTAATGTTGACTACAATCAGTTGAAAGCAAAATACCCCTCTTCTGACTACGCCGGACTACCTACCACCTACCGCCACTTGATTTGATAATGAGGCTCATGTCATGTTTGCTTTGCCACTTAACCCCCCAATAACACGCTCGTTAATTGCTGTTCACACTGACCGCGGTAAGCAGCCAAAGGGTCAAGGTTCAAAACAGGAAGTGACCAGGCCAGGCAAACCAATTGTTAGGCGGTCAGTTTGGTCAACTGGTTTTTAGCTGACCCGCTGACTCGTTATGTTTGTCCTGCTTCAGTTTCCCTATTTGACTTTTTGCTTTGCAGTGCATAAATTAGCATTAACATTATCCGTCAGAGGCTTTTATATAGCGGTCATTGGACTATTAGCACCGTAATTGATGGGTTAATGCAGTTACTCAGCAGTGGAAATCCTATCTACACACATGAAAAAAGAGGATATTAGTCCTACACCTTTATTGCAGCTTGATTTTGTAGTACGGTCGATTGAGCGCCGATCAACAATTCATATTGTCCAGAGTTTAAGAGTAGCGCACGTTAACAAGACGGTCCGCAACTGCTGCAGCACCCGCCCCCGCAGCAAGGTCCGCACGGACCACTATAAAATCCGCATCTGGGCCCGAAACAGCGGCCACTGAAGCAAGGGCTACAGCACGGGTAGTAACAAGTTCCACAGCAAGGGCCGCAACACATGATGAATTTTAGAGTTTCTAAGTACAAAGTTGTTATATAAAAAACATGTTAAGTATTTCTCATTTTGCTTACTTAAACAATTAAATCCAAAAAAAACACTGAACAATTAATTTTGATCTTGTCGCGCTGAATGCCGGGGTAAGACTGATTTTTTCTCGGCTTTTCAACCGATACTCATATGTGACAGACTGTGAATAAGGGTTCAAGGCTAATGTGATAAAAAACTTAAAGTTTTCTTCTTTTATAAACTAAGACATTTATTTGTTTTTTATTTATGGCCTTTTACCATTAAAATGCAAAAAAAAAATACAAAAACTTGCTTTCGGTACAAAGTTAGTATGTAGGGTCACTTATGCAAATTAACGGAACTATGAATATAGCCAAAAACCTTGGATAATTACCCGAGTCCATTTAGTCATCGCCCTGGCTTCATATCGGCCATTACCTTGAACGCATGTGGTACATGCAAATAACCACCACTTGACCATTTAGCAAGACCGTACTCGGCACGCGTCCTGTGATCGCAAATATAATTCCAACCATAATTACCACTACGCACTTCCGCCGCGACCTTACGGAACTACACGACTCTCTTGCCTATTTCGTTTTTAGGCATTAACAAACAGTCAAAACGGACTGAACCAACACATTTACTAAAGGTTGCCGCATATTAAAAAGTCATTTTCCAAGCAAATGAGTTAACATTTTCCTTTAGTTGGCTCTGCCAAATAAAATCAAGTTAGGAGCGAGGCGCAATAAGGAACTAGACGGAAGCACATGCTGTTCGACATGAGCTTGACCGGAACTACCATACGTGCCGGAAATGCGTGATTTTCGGTGTGGTAGCGCATTATTTACCGATCGATATGAGCTCCTTTTTTATGCCCTTGCAGAGCAAAGGGTATTATAATTTAAGGCAGAAGTTTGCAACGCAGTGAAGGCGACACCTCAGACCCCATAAAGTATATATATTCTTGATCAGCATCACGATTTGAATCGAAATATGTCCGTCTGTCGATTTCTGCGCAAGCTAGTCTGTCATTTTTAAAGCTTTCTTGCTGAAACTTTCACAAAAGTTGTTTAGTTATTGCACGCAATATATGTATATGTCGGAACAGGCCAGATCGGCTGACTATATCGGAAAGCTCCCATACGAGAGAATGAAATGAACAATTCTCACGCCGTTGTTTTTAATCAGATCGACTTGACTTCTTTCATATGGCGTTTTTTAACTACTATTGAATTTCGGATTGAATTTTACCAAAAACGGATAACTCCATCATATAGCTGTCATAGGAAAGATCGAAATATATATGTATAAATAATGGAAAAAAATTATAACGTCGTTGTTTTAAATCCCACGAGCATGATTTTCAAAAGATAGAGTTTTTTAATAACCCTTGAATTGAAAAAAATTTCATTAAAATCCGACAACGTTAGCTACCATAGGAAAGATCAAAAAAACTATACAGAAATAACGAAAATAAAATTATAACATCGTTGATTTTTATCAGACAAGCATGATTTTTGAATTACACATATGATAATAGTTCTTGTTTATTGTTCACTTACCGCTTGTTTCCTTCGGTTTTATAGATTTAAAGTATTTAAATGCATCTTTTAATGGATTATATACACGGATATTATTAACTCTTTGGCATATGTCAAAAAAAGTTGCCTGCCAGCGCTTTTTACCCTGTAAAGAACATTTTGTAAATATGTATGTATGTATGTCGATATGTGCGTAGAAATCACCAAGTGCACACATATGCACCTACATACGTACTTGTCCCGAGGAGCACCTTTGCATCGAAGCACCGAAAATGTTGGTTTAAACGCGAAACATTGACCGAAATGTATTTAAACCCCGAGTTTTAGAATGTTTATTGCCTTTTTTACATTTGCAGAGATCGATTTATATAAATTTAAAGACTTTTTCCGTAGGGGCGCGTCACAAAATGGCGGATGGTTTGCAATAAGAAGAAGAAAACTGCACTTGGCCTGAATTGCCGAAAAACACTTATTTTCACTATTAAAATGATTGGATTTTAATAAAACTTATTACTCAAACCGAGTATAAGTTGCACTTGCACTGAATATTGTTTTTTTATAACTTTTTAACACAAAAATTACCGGAAATTTAATTAAAATATATTTTAACGGAGGCTAAGCGATGCTCTTTGCAAGAGAGGAAAACTGACTGACAAAAAGAGAAAGAGAGGCAAATCATACGAGAGAGCTTTGATCAAGAAAACAGTTAAAGCTGCTGTGCATATTTGCCATTCCTTTTGTCAATCCTTCGTAAGAAAATAAAAATTGTAGGTGTAACGAAAACAAGGAGAAACCAGCAGTTGCAATTTTAAGATAAGCTTGATTAAATTGGTTTGCGAAATCAATGGAACTAAAAAATTGCTTTCATCTAAAATGTGAGTGATAAAACCTATGAAATATCAGTTTAATTTCAATATCATGTGGAGATCAGACTGTTAGGCGAAACCTGTGACGACCCGAGTACCAGAATCAGAACCAGACAATTGTGAAAAAATTGTGCTCAAGGAGCGGAAGTAGAAGGAGCGAATGAGAACTGTGACTCATAAAGCCTATTAGAATACAAGTGGAATAATTGCAAAGATCAGATGTAATCTAAATTATTTTAAAGGTATTAGAGAACAACAGCTGGGTATTAACTCTAGTAAATAAACATCGTATTCTCTTTTTAGTTCTTAACACAATGATTACAAGCTAAGCCATACTTTGCCCCCTTACACTTATTAAACTTCGAATTGGTTTCATATATCACGAACTGCTGCGATAATCAGTAATACTGTAGCCATAAGAAACCCGTAAAAGATAACATTTTCTGATGCACAATTATCATAATTTTGCAGCGATCATTTGTCTTAACAGCAGTCGACAAAATTTTTCCCTGATCTGTCCTGTTTTTAACGCTTCATCCGGAAAAAATTGAAAATCATCCGCATACCTGAAATCTGTCCTTTTTTTTATTTTTCATCCGGAAATCTGTCCTTTTTTTTAAATCTAATATTAATTATTTTTTATTCTAAAATAGTTGCTTTCGCGCTCCAATTTAAATTTATTATCAGCTGTAAAATATGAAACAGGTGACAACTTTTCGTCTGCCATGCTTAGATCGACAGCATGGTAAAAGATTCATCGAAAAACAAATCTTTTACGATTTACTTGCACTCTCTCTTTTGGTTCTGAACACGGAATTTCAAAATTGGTTGTTTTTTTTTATTAAAAATGCCAAGCAAAAGTTTCGGGATGTCTGGCTACTGCAGCCCGATTTTAAAGATTGGATTAGCCGATATAATTCAGACATTAACAAGGCTTATTGCAAATACTGCAAATGCAGTATTAACTGTAAAATTGACCAAATAGAGCGCACATAACGATAAAAAAAACATGCGCAAAATACATAAAGTTTAGTGAAATAAAGTAAAATTAGTTTCGCAGGGCCGGAGAAACAGTTTTGAGTGGGGTGATGACCTCACAAATTTTCAATATCCCCCCCCCGCCCCTTTTGTTTCAAAATCATTCCAAATCATGATGAGGGAAACACTGTTGACATAATATAGGTAAGTATAAATTTTAATAAAACAACAACACCAATCAATCAAAATCCAACAGGTAAAAAAAACTATTTTAAATGTAAAATGTTAATTAAAATCCATTTAATATTAATGTAATGTTAATTTAATGTTAAAATAATGTTAATTTAATATAATGTAAATGTAATGTTAACTAAATGTTAATTAAATTAATATGGCCACGTCAGCGACAATGATAATTAATTATTTTTTTCGTTTTCTCGCACCTATAATTCCCAAGTGGTTCTGGCTGATTCGTAGTGGGATACCCCTTGATTTTGGCCAATTTCTCAGTTCTCCGGGATGACCGGCAGTTTCTCTAAGAAACTTTTTCCGGTCTCTGGAAGTGTGTGTGTGTGTGTGTGTGTGTGTTAGTGACGTGGTTCCAGAGTGGGAGAGAGTATCTGGCCAACTCCTCCTACTGGAGTCCACTCCCGGATGCAGTGCATCATGGGTCGACTCCTCCTACTGGAGTCCACTCACGGATGCAGTGCACCATGGGTCGACTCCTCCTACTGGAATCCACTCCCGGATGCAGTGCATCTTGGGTCGACTCCACCTACTGGAGTCCACTCCCGGATGCAGTGCACCATGGGTCGACTCCTCCTAGGGTGCACTGCATCATGACCTGACTTGGCATGAACTTAAAGGTGCCCGATCCCTTCCTGCATGTAGTGGACTCCAGGATGCAGGGCATCCAAACCTGAAAAGGTGAGTTGCAGTTTTTTTTAATTATGTGATGACGTGGCTTTTGTAAAAAAATGCAGTTAATTAATTCAATTTTTTTATATTTTTTTTCAGGTTTTTGGTTGTGTATTTGGCTGATTGCAGAAAATAATTGGTGACACCATCCAACTTGTAACTTGAAGTTCGACATCAGGATGCACTGCACCAAAGTTATTACGCAGTGAGTACATCCTTTAGACAATAAATAATTAAGTTATATATTTTAAAAAATCATAAATATTTTGACAAAGAAACTAAAAGAAACAGATAAAGATCTGAAAGTTTTCAAGAACATGAAAGAAATTTGAAAGGTAAATTTTATCAAATATTGAACTTGAAGTACATGAAAATCAAACACAATTAATAATTGTAAACAAGTAGCGACATATAATATAAATATATGTAGTATATATATAGTAATAGTTGTAAGAATGCGGTTACCGGAAATATATAGTATGCTGACACCACATAAATGGACTGGACAACAGGCTGCAGGATCAATTATGAATGGCGTGATCTTCTATTGAACTCCACTCCAGGATGCAGTGCATCACCTCATTGGGGTATGTATTTTTTAAACAGCCGATTTGTATAAAATAATTAAACTAATATTTTGGAATGCTTCTTTTCATTACAGGTGATGACTATACCTTTCTACTTGGAGTGTACTTCAAGATGCAGTGAATCAATAACCCAAAGAGGTAAATACCTTTTTTACTAATACCTTTTTTACTAGTACCTTTTTTACTAACAAATTTATTCTAACTATTATTATTTGTTACAAATTATTTATTATTATTTTTTTTTCTTATTTAATTTCAGGGTAAAGTGTAAAGTGTACATGTTGC